CCTGCGCTTACTGGGAGAGGGGACAGGTGCTCACGGGACACCGAGACATGGCAGGCCGAGACACCGGCTCTCCGACGGACTGACCGCTCTGCAGCAACAGGACGTGATCCACCTGTCCAGACCCCACACTCTTCAACAGTATCTAGCACTGGCGACCAGCGGTCAGCGGGTGTCATTAATCAGACTTTAAAAGGGTTACAGACACATGCGCTTTCCACGGCCATATTCAAGCAGGAACTTGTTTTCACATCTTTATTAAAAGACGGGGAAATAATTTAAAGCCACACTTTTCCCAAAATGAACAAAATAACCCACAAGAAATCTCTAGACTAGTTTAACCCTGGATCATTCGCAGTAATAAAGAGCGGCCGCCTCACAGCTCACACTGTGCTTCTGCTTTCAGTCTCAGAAACGGGCACCACGCTGCAGCGCCACGCGTGGACCGCGCACGGCGGGCCGGTTTGCGCCGCTGGCCTCTCGCGCTCGAGACCTGGGGTGTCACGAGCTCCTCTCCCGAGCTCTTCACGAGAGCCCTGCGGACCGGAGCTCTGGACGGGCTGGCTGGCCCGTTTCTAAGCAAGCGCGCCTCCGGCGCATGGGCGCCAGCTTTGTAAAGGAGAGGAAACACGACACGGGTCGTTATCCTGAACTCTCCAGATTCATCGCCCCGAATGCGCAATAACCATCAGTGCCATTTTCAAGTCCCGGATCCGTGACAGAACGGGCCACAGGAGCCCCGCTCTGGGACAGCGGCCGTGCGGCCGGGAGCAGGAACACTGCCGCTCGTGTCTCCGCGGTCCGCAGCTGCACACAGCTGTGGGCCGGAACCTCTGCATTTCCTGCCAGCCGAGTCTCGTCCAGAAGCAGAGCGGAGCGGTACGTCTTACACTCGGTAAGCGATCAGCAGGGGCTCGGCGGCGGGATCAGACGCTCTTTCGAATTCAAGCGCTAGTCGATACTGTGTAATCACATCGCAAGCTCTAACTGAAGTCGCTGAAAAGCCCCGCGTTTGAAAATCTGAATAGACCAGCAGCGTGAGCTGTCAAATTCTTAATACCGTCCAGTGCTCTTGTACTGCCCTTACAGTAAATTCGAGACTGCAAACAACAGGACCTCCCATATCAACCAGCGTAACCACAACCCTGTAGATCGCTTCACGACATAACTCCCCGCCCCGTACTCCGAGAGTACGGGACTGTTCTCTAACTTTCTCCGCTGTCGGTTTCTTACCCAGGGCGTCGAGCGCTGACCCAGCTCCGACCCTCACGGAAGTTTGGAAGTGAAGTTCCCGTGTTAATAAGGAAGCGTTGGATTTAAAACCATTTTTGTGGTGCTCAGAAGAGTGCTGTTGGGTTAAAGGCAGCGCTGTAGATCCAGTCCCGCCCTTGGGAATATCCCCGCCGCCACGGAGCGAGAGCGAGAGCGAGCCCCTGGCTCCTAGCCCGGAGGAACTCCGCCCAGCCCGGGCGGGTCGCTCGGCCCCTGTCCTCTGCGGACACTGTGTCGCTCAGACACAGCCCCTGTCCTCTGCGGACACAGTGTTGCTCAGACACAGCGCTCCGCACGCTGATTGCGCAGCGCCAAGTGCAACAGGAGCGACAGCGCGAGGCCCCGCAGTAGCTGCGGCTCGAGCGCGTCCGCTCTTTTTTTTTCTCGAGCTGCTACCGTCATCCGTGACGAGCACCCCGCACGCGCTGCCCGGCCCAGCGCGGCGCGAGTCCCGGCCGTGGAGCCGGAGCGGCGAGTCGTGCGAACCGGCCCCGTGCCTTGGGGGGGTGAATTTTTTTAAAACCCTACAGGCAGGAAGAATTGAACTTTCTTCCGCGCTCCTGCTGGGTCGGTCCTGGCGATAGGACCGAAGCTTGAAATTGAGCCTTCTGGGTGAATAACTTCCCTCCCCACGGCCACGCACACGCACACGACCAGCTCAATCTTATAGGCGCGTCACGCCCATATCAGACCTTCGGGTGCATTTCCGATAAAACAAGCGAATTCTTTAAACTCTTTTAGAGACACGCGTGCTCTTGAGGGAAGAAAAATAAAAGGAGACTTTTTCTGCTGCGGAGGGGGCTAATTAGTGTAAAGTGATTACGTGCAGGTACTGTACCCCAGCACAGACTGGCTACAGCGAAAAGGAATCTTCGCCGCGGCCGGCGCGAGCACGTATTGAATAACGACTTTTTAAAAGTTGCGTTTACAATGACCCATCCCCGCCCTCGGGCCGCTCCAGCCTGTCTGAAATCAGCGGAGCCCCCGATGTGCTCTCCCGACTGGGGGCAGCGGCCGATGACTGGGAGATGTGGTCCTTCCGGGATCTGTAACGCCCCTGCGGAGCTGCACGCGACTGCCCGGGCGCGCTGGCCTGGGGACCGCGCGCCGCCTCGCGCTGTGAGCCTCGCGCACACCGAGCTCTGGCGATCCCGCCTCTCAGGGGATGTGTGAAACTTTGTACGTTCGTCTGTCCGTTATCTGCTGTTATCGCCTCGCTTTCGGCAACTGTTGTGTTGTTTTCTCAGCTATTTTCTTCTGTTTTTCTACTGCCTTTCCACGCACCGCGCTTTCCGAAGGACGCTTCTCCTGAGAGCCAGGTTTACTGCTGATTTTGACCCTAAAGACCGCAGCCTCCGTCAGCTAGAAAGCATTGCTAAGGAGAGCTAGTGCTGTCGTAAAATAAAAGTTTATTCCGTGCTGAAAAGAGAAGAAAAGAAACACAACGTTTCGGCTGTGGAGCCTTCTTGGGGTGTGTAAAATAATATGACCAGGTTAGGCGCACCTCAGGCAAGTCTACACTCCTCAACATTTCCACCCGCGACATGAAGCGAGCTGCCTGTTGCGAACCGAAAACGGCCGCCGGCGCGTGCAGAGGCCACTAGTGACCGGGGAAGTAGAGTGGTCCGTGACCACGCACAGACCCACGGCACGCGAAAGCGCCCCGAGAGGTGTCGCGCTCCTACCTTCAGAGTCCAGCGATCATCACTGTTCAGGCTGTAACAGTCCAGAAGGTAAAACAGCGCCCCGGGGATCGGCGATATAGACGTTTCCAGTCCACTTCGATCCGAGTCTGGACCTCCTCCGTCCGCGAAGGGGCCGTGGTACTCCTGGGTAATCCCCGTCACGAGAAGTGCTCTCCGGCTCTCCCACCGCGCCGGGCCCGCGGGTGCGCTGACGTCATGACGCCTGAGGCCGCCGGACAGGTTCCCCCACGGCCTTGTTTGGCCAATAAAGAAAGAAGCCAACTGTCAATGGAGTGTAAAAACACTGAAACAGGATCCTCAGCGCTCCTGCGAAACGTCCAGTACTGTTATTGGCTTAGAAAAGGGGAAGTACGAATCGCAACAGCCTGCGGAAAACCGCACGGCAGCGTCACGTTTCCCTCCAGGCGAGAGTCCCGCCAGTGAAGGAAGTGGTGCTCAGGACAGAGTGTGCCTTCAGGTGTGCCAGTAGCGTATTGCTGCATTTTATCTGTCTTCAGCCTGTCCAGAAAGACAACCCATTAATTTGCACCACAGTCTACCAACACACCAGTGCCCGGCCGGCCCTGCCCTCCAGCTCAGAGCTGAACCAAATCTCTTCGGACCTGCGGATTCAGGCTCACTTTACACCGCCGAGGGCTACGTCAAACCTTTCTGGTGATGACAGCGCAGGCCGACGCCCCCCAGGGCTCATACGGACCCGGCCTCACCACCCCTCCTCTCTGGAAACAATGTTAGCAAAATTCACCGGCGCGTCCATTTCAAGACGCGCGTCCCCGTGACGGAACTGGCCATCGGGCAGGCGGTCAGCGCCTGGGGGGGTGACCGGTCTTTCTAAACACTGGTCAAGCCGGCGCCCCTGTTGCTGCAGCGTGTCTGCTCTGGCCCTGAAGGGAGGACCCGGCCAGGCGAGGTCTTCACAGTGGCCGAGTCCGTGGGCCGTCAAGACTTCCCACTGTATACTGACGTACATGGGAAGCAGTGGCACGATTTTAAGGACATTAATGGCGTTTCCTCCGAACTGTGTAAGAAGTGGAACGGCTCGAGAGTCCAAGCTTTTCAGTGTCCGTGGGTCCCGGGCCGTCCACGCGTGTCCCGCGCTCGCGATTGCCGTCTTTTCCGAGCGCGTTTCCACGGCACTGCCTGGCCTGCACTGCCACCTGCAGGCGGCGGGGACCACTACATCTGTGTGTCTTTGCCCTACAAACCACTTAACCCTGGGTCTCTAACGCCAAATCTTAGCCTTCAAATCATCAGTTTTTAAGTAGCAGTTTAACTATGATCAATCCGACATATGGCGCGTGCATTTAAGTCAAAATCAGAATATTGTTCTTTCCGCAGAACGTTTCTTGTTTAATTGATCAGTTAATAATAATGAATAATTCCTTACACTTACATAGCGCTTTTCTGGACACTCCACTCAAAG